CAGCTCCACACTGTGTTATACGCACTCACACATGAACCTATGGGGTGAATTTATATTTGCAGATACATTTTGTTTTGCGGAAAATCACACAATTTATAGACAGTCAGTCAATATGGTGTTTTATAAATTCCTCTGTTAGAAATAAAACCAGTCTGACTTCAAACTAAAACACAAACAGATTCTAAACAAGGTATCACCTAACATGCATTGTCTGACCTAAAATGTCACCTCTTCACACTGATAAAACCTTTAGTTCTCTCAGGACCGTGACTTCAAAGGAATTCGGGGATTTACATATACATATTCATCAATTAAAACCTTCTAACTGATTAAAGATTTAACAGCATCTTAGGTTTGTTCAGTACATCCTCATCAATGGTGTGAACCTTTGATCTTTTACTTATAAATTCTGTGTCTGATACTACCTCTCTCACTAACACCTGAAGAAGGACTGAGGCTCTGAAAGCTTGTGTTTTCAAATAAACCTGTTGGACTGTAACCTGGTGTCATGTGATTTCTGACCTTGTCCACCCCAGTCCAAAACCGGCACCTCCACATCATTGCAGAGGAAAGTTGACCCTTTTTGTCCAATACTCTGAACATTGCTTCAATTTAATTATCATCTCATGCCCTCTTGAATGTCTCAATGTACCTGTGCTAGCAACTCCTAGCAATATGTTCCATTCTCTAATGGTGTGATAAAATTTCTGCTAACATTTCATTTGCTTCTTTTGCAAGTCACTTTAAACCTATGCCCTCTCATTCTAAATCCTTTTACAACCAACAATAATTTCTCATTATCTACTGTATTCAGCCCTGATGACTTTGAAAACTTCTGTTACATCTTGTCTTTTTTTCTTTCTAAGGATAACAGTCCTAATTTCTCCAATGCTTTCTCATAACTGAAATTATTCATCCCTAGAACCACTTTTTGTAAATCTCTTCTGTACTCTTACTAATGCATTTACATCCTTCCTATAGTGTTGCCCCCATAACTGTACACAATGCTCCAGCTCAGGGCTAAAAAGTGTCTTTTACAAGTTCAGCATCACCTCCTTGCTCTTGTACTCTATGCCCCCATTAGTAAAGCCAAGAACACTGTATTCTTTATTAAAAGATCTCTCTACTTATTCATCTACCTTCAATAATCTCTGCATATATATATCCAGATTACCTCTGCTCCTGCACTCTCCTTACAATTGTATCCCTTATTTTGTATTGTCTGTCCATGTTCTTCCTACCAAAATGCATCACTTCAGACTTCTCTGCATTGAACTTCATCTCCCATCTATCTGCCCACTCCACTAACTTGCTGGTGTCCTTTTGAAGTTGTACACTGTCCTCACAGTTTTGTATTATTTGCAAACTTTGAAATTGTCTCTTGCATATCAAGATCTAGACCATTATATCAGGAAAAGCAAAGGATATACTACTGACACTTCTAACCCAAAAAATATCTGTTTCCGTTAATGTACAGTAATTTAAAAGCTTTCTGATTAGAGGCACACTGTCCTTTCTCCCCTGTCCTCTTCGAGTACTGTATTGAACATTTTGTAGGGTTTGGGAAAAGGCAGGAGAATGGCAATAAATCATAAAGTCCATTTGGAAAGCCAGCACATCCACGTTGGGCCAGATGGCCTCCTCTGAGCTGGAACATTTCTGTGACTTTTGTGATTCTGTGAAACTGTAGTACTGATGTTTAGTGTGGAATAGTTGTAACTAGTTGTGGATTCCCTCCCTAAAACCCCATTTTGGAGAGCTCATCCATCATGTAGCTGTATGACATTCTGGCAAAGACCTTCTCCTGGTCCTAGCTGATGAGGCACTCATATCCCTCAGTAACATGAGGTTAATGGAGATTTTCCTGCTGGATACATCGGAGATTTGGTCTGGGTTTATTACCAACTCCAGGGCAGACTTAACCTAATTGGCAGTGACAAAATATTGTAAACTGTACTCAACCATGAAATGGATTAAAAATTTCTCATTTCATTGCTCTTTCCCTTCTGCTTGTGGATGATGGTGTTGATGCCTTTCCTCATGGTTACACAAAGTCAAATACAACTCACTCAGTAAGCTGTTACTTCTACAAGTTTTATTTGCCTTGACATTGTTAACAACCTTAGTCTTACTCATCTAGAGTTGTGTATTTGCCTAGACTTTCTGCATACAGTCTTCCAAAGCCCTTTGATAGATGACAGGGAGGACTGAAAGGACACATGATTTCTGTGGGCTTCATGTCATAAAATCTGGCACAAAAGAATTTTCTGATCCTCAGAATATTGATTGCAATTTTGGTACCCATCCACCTTCTTCCTTTGGGCTGCTGATCACAGAGATGTTTGTGTGTGTGTGTTTGTGTGCATGTGTGCGTGTGTGACGAAACATGAGCACATCTCATCTTACTTTATGGAACAATATCTGGATAGGAAGATGAACATAGAGGTCTCCACAGCAAAGAGTCAGGCTTGCTAACTCTTCATATGAATGAAGAGCCAAGGAACAGGAGTGGACCATTCAGCACTTAGAGCCGGCTCTACTATTTAATAAGATGTCGGCTGATCTGATTGCAACTTTCATTCACATTCCCACCTACCCATGATAATATTCAGCCCTTGTTTCCCAAGAATTTCTCACCCTGTGCCTTAAACGTATCCAAAAACTCCGCTTCCATCCCATTTTCAGGAAGAGAATTCCAAATACTCACGACCCTTTGTGAGACAAAAAATCCTTTGCCTCATCTCTGTTTTAAACTATGGCTCCCGAGTTCTAGATTCTCTCATGAGAAGAAACATTCTCACTACATCTGCTCTATCAAGACCCATAAGGATCTTTTATGTTTCAATCAAGTCACCTCTTATTTAACTCACAGCCTGTCTATATCCTTCATTGCACTTCCTTGATGTTTTCGAGAGTCAAGAATCTCAATTTTGGCTTCCAACTCTCTGGTTTTCCTGAAATTGACAGTCACCTAAGATGAGGCAGTGATCAGAAAAGAAGTGATCTGCTGTCAGTTAACGAGAACATGACTAATTAGGATATAAACAGGAAATCTATCCTTGAATATTCAGAATAGCCTGCCTTCAAACAGGTATATCTGCATGGTGCACCATCTGTAGGGTTTCTGAAGAGGTTGTGAGCTTGGCATGTTTTGCTATCTCAAAAAGGATTCTGGACATGGCGTCCAGTCTGCTGTTGGCCCTGCCAGATTATCCAGCCACATTGATGATATTGTTGAACATGATTAGCTGTATTGTTGTGGAGTTGGGGAATTTAGTTTCCCAAATTAATGCTGCTACAACCCATGGAAATTTCTACAAGAATTATTTAATCACAGCTTGATCTATATACATACTCACTTTCCTTAGGTTAAAACATCAAATCTCTTTCAGCTCTCATTAATTAATCAAGTGAGTCTGACATTATCACTGCATCATCATCATTATGTATGCTTTTAATGTTAATCCTATTACCATACATTAGCCATCTTCTTGAAAGCAATTTGCTAAATTAGGAGCAATTAACTCTTGCGCTGTTTTCCAGCTAAGTCTGATCGCCAAGGATACCATGTTTCTTTGTCGAAAGGACACCCCTGAACTAAATGGGTTTTTGTTACAATTTGGTAGGTTTTTAGTAGCATTACTGACACCATCTTTTTATTCCATTTTTAAAATTCTTTGAACATCTGTCCAGTAATGAATACCAGACACCAACGCAGTAAAAAATGTAATATCAAGTATAAATCTGGACTAATTGTTACGTATCTTAACGTTTACGATCACTAGATTGAGCATCATCAATAAACTACACACCACAAAATTGTTTTGTGTGTTTTTCAGTTTCATTATTTGTTTTTTAACGCAAGGAAACTTGTCCATGACCTTTGCTGCCCATTTTAAGGTAACGCTGCCATTGTGTCAGATGACCACACTCTCATTAGAAAGAGATGACAAGTGGTGAGTTTAACTTCAGGGTCACAATACCTCAGGGGAGAGGGTAAGGGTGAGAAGGTGACACCTTCATGGCAACCTCAGCCAGTACAGAAATTGAACTTGTGCTGTCAGCATCACTCTGCATCGCACACGAACCATTCGGTTAACTGAGCTAACCAACACCGCAGCCCATTGAAGCAGTAAAACAGCTATGATAATATGAAAACCCACGCCCAATAAATAAATAAGTACAATCACTCTTGTCACATATCTCTCTCGCAATGATCAATTCCGGCCTGTGGACTATAAGAGATTGCTATAGTCTGCTTTGCAAAACATTAGTCTTAACACCAGTTAATTTTCATTAATGATGAAAACAGAAAACAGAGACATGGCATACAAGAGGAAAACTGGACAGTCTGGCACAAAAGTGGACTAGTGGCCACCCGTAGGCTTACGGGGCAATTAACATAAGCACAATGTTACAGTATGCCAGGATGATGAATGACTGTAATATACAAAACTATGTTTGCAGTGAGATTGAATTCATAAACTTGAAAATGGGCTGAACTATTGTTACTCCCTTGTACAAAAAATAAGACACTTCAAATGTAAGCAGGTATTTATTTATATTTGGAATCAGAGACTTCGCCTACAGAAGGAGATACTCTGAAACTCCAGCCCCAAGTCCCTAAGCTCCCCCCTCGGCCTGCCCCGCCCCGTACGCACTTGTTGGTATTGGTAAAGCACGCTGGACCTTTCCTTTCGCTGATTGGCTGCAGTCCCGGTCAGCTGTAAACGCCTCCGGAAAATCGGACTGGACAAAACGGCGGCGGAGGCGGCGATTGGCCAACGTCCTCACCATCCTGCGTCGCCATTGGTCCGTTCCAGTGACGGGTGGGCGAACGTCTGTTGCTTGCCAATTGGTCACACCTCCAGGGCGCTCGGCTCAGCCGATAGGCGACGCAGCCAATCAGAGCGGGGCGTGCGGATGGGCCAAGCGGCCGTACCATGTGGAGAGAGGGAGAGGGGGAGGGAGAGGCTTTATGTTAAAGGTGTTCAGTTGCTTCCTCCTCGGGTGACTTTCCTTCTCTTTGATCCGGAGGGAGAGGAGCTTCGCTGTCGCGGCAGGGTTTGGGGTGGGGTGTGCGCGGCCTGGATTTCAGCTCGCTGCCAGCCGCGGGGTAACATTGTAACGGAGGGGATACATTTGTAACCAAAAAGGGGGCGGAGGGCGCTACATTGACAGCAATACCCGGCGAAGATGTCGAAGGAAGAGGTGGTTAGCGAGGTCATTGTGGAGTCCAAAGTGATGTGGTACCCCGACTCCAAGAGGAACACACACATGGACCGATTCAGGAACCTCATCAACGACAAGTTCGGTCTCCAGTTGGGTAGGTCTCTGTGTGTGTGTGTGTGGGCGGGCGGGGGCATCGCCCTTCGGGAATCCGGCTGCTGCAACCTGAGCTTTTCTGCAAATTTCTTCAAGTCTCAAATGTAAAATCCCTGGCCTTATCCTTCCATTACCTAGACCCCGCACGACCTCATCCAGCTTTCTGTCCCTGTTGCCCCTGTCGCTCCCCGTTGCTTTATAATCCCCGTTGGTGACACCACTTTTGAGAAGATTGTAACTCTCATTCCACTTAAGGCGTTTTTAGACGCTGTCTTTTTGAGTAAAGTTCATCCGTCAAATCCAAGACCATTCCTTTCTTCAGTTATGTCATGGGGTGTTTTCCTGTCTTATAAGTTATAAAATGGTGTACGTCCTGTAAAGAGAAATTGTTGGTACCCAACCGGTTCCCCATCAATATTTGTCAGAGTGGAATTGTGTACTAGAAGTGATTAACCAAGTCATTAATCTGAAACTGTGAAGGCAGATCATTTACTTTAGATTTTTAATGATTTGTTTATTTTTAAAATATCGAGTGTCCGAGTTTTAGATTCTCATAAACAAGCATGGCAAACCAAGTTCTTGCAAATGAAACTTGTGAAAAATCTGTTATGAGCTTTGTCTGGAGCATACTATAAATAACTCCTCAGCCCTTTAATTGTCCAGTCTTCTAGAGTAATTTAAAACCAGCACATCATAGTCGTGAAGTAAAATCAATGATAAGTTGGTGGGTCGTGTGCAACTAATGGCCGTCGACATACTGGCAATATATCTTTTACACAAATTATTTTATAAGCATATAGCAACAGTTAGTGATTTTGTTATGATCAGAAAGTTTGGAAGACTGATCACCTATGCCACTTGGCATAGTACTCCGATGACAACATCTGTAAAGTTAGCCATTTGTCAGATGCTGCCTTCAGAATACAGTCAAATGATTGTAGTTCTATAGGTCACATGGCTTTAGTATTTGAAAATTAAAAGCTTCCATAATTATTTGGATAAATTTAATAAGTCACAGGGTATACCAGTTGTGTGTTCTACCCATTCACCTTTATTTGTTTGAATGGTGATGGTGTCTTTAACATTTGGACATTAAAAGGTGACTTGAAAATGTGTCTATTTCCTCCACCCCTTTATCATTCATACCAAGCGATTAAGACAAGACTGCAGAGATCTATATTTAAATCTTAAATGCCTTTTGTTTTCTCAGCCAATTATAATGAATTGTATCATTGGTCGGTTGAGAACTACCCGGAGTTTTGGGCAGAATTTTGGAAATTTAGTGGATTGGTTTACTCTCAACATTACAGTGAGGTAGGTGTTTCTGTTTTGGGTTATTTTTAAATCACATGACTTCTGATTTAATGTCTTCTGTTGTTAAAAATCCTTCATAAGTGCATTAAGGGATCTTTGCCAAAGGATAAAAGGAATGTGCCATTAAGAGGACCAGGCTGACTGCTCAGTGAGAGAAAAGCAGAATACATCTTTTTCATGTGTGGTACAGTAGTAAGAATGCAAATAACCGTGGGTTTAAGGTATCTAGTACAAAGCAACCATTGTGACTTGTGACAGCTGACTGCTTCTGAAAACAGTAGGATACAGTAATCTAATTGTGCAGTTGTATGCATTTTTGGACCAGACTGTGTGTTTGTTTGCTTGTTTGTTTTATTGCGTGAGTGACAACCGACAACATCTAAATAATATTCTGGGTTATGAAATAACACTTATAGCATCAGTAGAATATGTTCTGGGCATTATGGTCTAGTGTTTGTACTAGGCAGTAATTGGCAAAAATGAGTTTGGAAAGCTTTGGACACTGCCGGTTTGGAAGTTATGCTCAAGTTTCTGCACAGTTGCATAAATCTGAGCATGAAATCTTCTATGAAGAATACGCTCAAGTAATCCAATCAGATGCATTGAATTATTGCTCAAGAGATTCATCACCGCTCAGTCATTTTTTAAATTTGTTTTGCAATTACACTGGAGTTAGATTCTAAGGTCTCCCAAAGCAAAGGGTTACAAGGCAAAGTTACACCATGGATTTCGTGCCTTTGGATGCCAAAGTTAGACAGTTATTACAGCCTAAAGGCATACTCAAGCTTATACTCTCATGCAAGTTTGTCTGTAGAAGCAGTTGATTGAGATGTTGGACTGTGCAGCCAAAGATGAAAATTACAGATGTAGATTCAATTGCTTTGATCTTGCACTCTTTGTCGATTGGTCATGTTGATGCAGGTACTATTCTGGAAGTAACTGAGTCTTCTCCTTCTCCATCACCATTTTACTTGGCATTACCATAACGTTGGTTGATCTCCATCTCTCTGTATCACCCATCTATCTTCCTCTTAGTCTCTTGAAAACAAGACCTTTCAGCTAGTCTTGGGTCTTCCTCCTCTTCTTTTTCCTGGCAATTCTGTCTCACTCACATCACCACACTGTTTCTGCCCGTGTCTCTCTGTCCCCACAAAAGGCAACTGTACTATTTCACTCTGTTCTCAACTACCTTTTCAAAACTCCCACCCATCTTTACTATTCTTCTGATGTGCTTGTTCCTGATATTGTCCTCTGTCAAGTGTTCCACTCACCCATTTGATCATCTGCATCTCATTAGTATTCAGTCATTGTTTCCCTTTTCTTGATATTATTTAGGTTTTTGCATTATAAATTAAGCTGGTCCCATACTGTCTTGCAATTTGTATCACACAACTCGATTACTTCAACAAGAACCAATTCATGCTAATTCCCACTTCCATATTTCCACTTTCTGCCACCACTGACACCAGATACTTGGAACTGTTCATCTCCTGCAAGTCTTCACACCTCCACTTTGATCTTTTTCGCTAGGCTAAAACTGACTGTCCATACGTTGTCTCTGGTCTACTGAGCTTCATCTCCCTGTCTTCCAGTTGTGATGAAAGGTGTGTACATTTATTGATTGTCGTTTTTGGAATTTGTATTGGTTCAAAAAGAGGTGAATGTGGACATGGATTTTGAAGACTTAAAAAAAAAATAGTCAAAGTCATTCTGGATCAGTGATCCAAATTCACCATTTTTCCACAAACATATGGCTCTGATCAAGAGCTAAGGAGAACTCCCGGAGTGTTAGTGGAATAAGATGTTTATACTTTTTGGCTTTATGACAGGCCGTGTAAACACATTAATTTTTGTGTTCAGTTCAGAAAATAAACTTTTTTAGTTGAGAAGACTTAAGAGTTGAATTCAAAAGCAAGTTTTAATTTGTTTCCGAGCAGGATTCAGTTCAGAGGAAACAATTAACTACAACAAAAGTATATTTATTCCCTGGTTTCCGAACCAGGAGAGTTTGGGTCAGAAATCTTAAGATTGTTAGAATTGGAAAACATTTAGCCATGAGACTGTACATTGTACTGCAGATGTGTTTTCTCCAATGTCTTGAAACAGAGTGTATTTACTTTTATGTACAATTCCTCTTTCAATAAACAATAACATTCTATTAGCTTTCCCAATTATTTTCTGTACCTGCAGATTGACATTTTGCAATTCATGCCACAGGACACCAAGATCCCCATGCACCTTTGAAATTTCTCACCAATGAGACATTATGCTTTTTTTATTCTTCCTGCCAAAGTGAACAATTTTCACACTTTCCCACAATACACTCTAAATGTCACATCCTTGCCTCTCACCCAAGCTGTATATACTGTCTTTTTTTTGTATCATTCCTTATTATCTTTATGCACAGATTATTTTCATTTCTTTAACACTTCTTTTTCTTTTACTGTACTTTGTATTTTTATTCCAACATCAACTTTCTTTTGTAGCTTTTCTGCTTGCTGATGAATGTTCACGTACTTTACCAGTTTTTCTAATCAGGTTTATCACCAACTTGCACTAATCCTTCACAGCGTCTCTTGTTATTTTTATTGCTTTTGGCTGTCTCATCATCTGTTCTCTGGATTCCCCCTTCACTTGCAGATATTTGAGCTTCCACCACCTGATGATCTGTCTACCTCTGGTCTGCTACCATTTACTTTGCAATTTGTTCTGCGCTTTATGTTGCATGGCCAGTGTCTCTCCTTAGGCTTTGCAGTTCTTTGTTTCATTTTCATGTCGGTATTTTCTAATCAACCTATGTAGAGAAGTTATTACACATCTCTGGAACAAGTGAGCCTTGAACTTTGCCTCCTGGTCCAGGTGTAGGGATACGACCACTGCAATTTTCCAGTCATGACATTGTCCAGCTGTCTTTCTTTCTTTTTTTTTATTCATGGGATGAGGGCATCGTTAGCTAGGCAGCATTTATTGCCCATCTCTAATTGCTCATAGGGCAGTTAAGAGTCAACCACATTGTTGTGGGTCTGGAGTCACATATGGGCCAGACCAGGAAAGGAAAACAGTTTCCTTCCCTAAAGGACATTAGTGAACCAGATGGGTTTTCCCCAACAATCGGCAATGGATTCAGTCAGATATTTATTGAATTCAAATTCACCATCTGCCATGGCAGGCTTCAAGCCCCAGGTCCCCAGAATATTCCAGGTCTCTGGAATAACAGTCCAGCGATAATACCAGTAGGCCATCGCCTCCCCATTGCTGTTGTTGTCTGTATTTTTGGTACCAGGTGTTTAGTGTTACCAGTGGTAAGACATGGTGAACTCCTGGATCTTGGCCCCTTCATCATTTCCTTCAAAACTGTGTCCACCATGGATCTTGCATCTTGTTTTTTCTCTCCCCACATGTTCAGCTGCTGTTACTAGCCTGCCACTGCTTTGTATTGTTTGAACCACATTGTCTAACTATTCCTGCAATGCTGCTTTCTCCTCTGGCTCACGTCTCGGTGGTACACGATGCTTCATCCCTGACTTCTAGCTTTACATTGACACTGACTCTGTTGCTGATTCCTGTCCACTGTCAATACCTAGTCCTCATTTCTATGCTTTGTTCTATTTCAACACCATTTCTTCTTACATTCTGTCCATGATAGTGAAGTTTATAACCACCATCAGTTTCTCTGGCTGTGGCAGTGTGTATCCCTTTACTAACCATGAATTCAGTCACTTGACTGCTTTCCCCTGGCAGGCTGCCAACATTTGGACTTGCAGTTTTGAATTTGGTCATCTTTTCACCTCTTCTTTGCGCATCCTTCTTTAGCTATCCTCATCCTTTACTCCTGCTGCTCGTTCTCTCCATTTACCTGAAATTGGGACTAGCACCACTATACCCTGACTTGCCTGCACCAGTAGCTGGAAACAACGCAATCAAAATCCTTGCCAATAGAGGAAATAGCACAGGCTTAATGGAGAGAATTGAGGTTGAGGTAGATGTGAGGAAGGATTATTGGAAAATTGGAGGATTTGGCTAATAGACAGATAGAATTCTATTTTGCTGAGGAGGCGGCTTTAGAAATTTGTTGTTGAGGTTTAAATGCAGATTTCATTTGTACACTGGTGAACAACTGATCTGTGCATGCAGGATATGTGGGGCCTATAAATATTTGATGAGTGAACATTCTTGAATCTGTAGTGTTTGGGCATTGATCCACTACTATAAAACCAATTTGGTTGAGCATTGATGGCATAAGTACATAATCCCCAATGATTGGGTGTAGCAAATGTTGTCTAAAAACTATACGCATAGCTATCAATGTCTCCTGTGGCTATCAATGTAGCCTCAACCATTTTCCAACCTTGAAATATAAATTTGAGAAATTCTGATGTTTTAATCATCTCGTCTTATGTTACTAATGTGAATTCCAGAGTACTAAAAACGATTTAATGTTTGATTAAATAACCTACCTGTATTTTTGATTCATCCAAATTATATTTGGTTAAAATTATTCCAATATATTGGCATACCTTTAAACAGATATTATATACACTCACCCTCATCTGCTGATTCACTATCAATGTACATGAGATTGCCAGCAGTCCCCTTTTCTTATTTGACATGTCTGGTCTGTTCGCTCAGCTCTTTGTGGTACGTAGGTGAGTTTCACAGAAGTGTTATCTGTGTTTTTTGATATCTGTGGGAAGTTCATGCCCCTACCCCAGCTTAGTAATCAGAATTTTGGTAAATAATTTTAAACGTAAGCTGGCCACCAATAAATTCAACCGTGAATGCATGAGAAACCTCTTTGGCCAGAAGAATTGCAAAAATGTGGAATTTGCTACTACATGCAGTAGTTGAGGTGAGCAACATAGTGACATTTAAAGGGAGGTTAGATATCTAAGGAGAAGACACACGCGCAGTATCTGATCCATGTGGCCATACGGCTTGTTTCTGTGCTGTGCACTGTGATTCTATGTAATGTATAATTAGTGTGCAAAAGGAAAACTTCT